ATAAAACCATCACAGGCCTGTGTTAACAATAAGACCATCACAGGCATGTGTTAACAATAAAACCATCACAGGCCTGTGTTAACAATAAGACCATCGCAGGCCTGTGTTAACAATAAAACCATCACAGGCCTGTGTTAACAATAAGACCATCACAGGCCTGTGTAATTACTAGGTTTGACTTAAAAGATTTACTGAGTCGTTGAAATCAAAGGAAAACAAAAACAGTAACAAATTATTTAACAATACTTTCACAAGTTAAAATTAAACTTATAACAATTAACTTATCTGTCACAATTTGTTTAATTTGTAACAACAATAGATATTTGTATTTGAATATTCTAAGTTCACACCATAAAATAAATAGAAAATCTTCTACTCACCAGAGAATGTCCCTGTTGTTCGAATTATCATATCATGACTTTTGTTTCCCCGTTTAGTGTTAAAAGTAAAACAGTTGCCGTAAAGAAAACTCCAAAACGTTGTGAAATTTCTGTCAGTTATGATATATATATATATATATATAAATATAATTAAAATAACTTTATTATTTTTAAATTAATACAGATAAATATCTCTTTAATCATAGAATAGGAGTTAGGAAGTTAGAAAAGCAGTTCAGAAAAAAGTTACATTTAACAAAACTTTCGGTCAACGAAAGTGATAAAACAAACCTCAACCGAAAATAGTGATTGATTTGAAAAGTGTTTGTTTGAAGTTAAGCACAAAGCTACACAATGGGTTGTCTGTGCTCTGCCCATCACGGGTATCGAAACCCGGCTTCTAGCGTTGTAAGTCCGCAGACATACCGCTGTGCCACTAGGGGGCCATTCTGAGGTTTGTTTGTAATTATGCACAAAGCTACACAATGGGCTATCTGTGCTCTGCCCACCACGGGTATCAAAACCCGGATTCTAGCGTTGTAAGTCCGCAGACGTACAGCTGTGCCACTGGGGGGCGATTTGAAAATACATTACTGTCTTCTACTACATAAAAGGCATGGCATGACCAGGTGGTTAGGGGGCGCTCGACTCGCAATCTGCGGGTGGTGGGTTCGAATCCCCGTCCCACCAAACATGCTCGCCCTTTCAGCGGTGGGGACGTTATAATATGACGGTCAATCCCACTGTTCGTTGGTAAAAGAGTAGCCCAAGAGTTGGCTGTGGGTGGTGATGACTAGCTGCATTCCCTCTAGTCTTTCACTGATAAATTAGGGACGCCTAGAGCAGATAGCTCTCGTGTAGCTTTGCGCGAGATTCATAACAGACAAACAAACAAACTACTACATAAAGCTATTGATGACTTTAGTGTCATCTAACGGCGATTGCTAGAAGCCAAATATGAAGATATATTTGAATTATTCCTGTGTTTAGCTATATCTTTTATAAAGTAGAGTTTTAAACAAGACCTCGGGGGTCCCAAGGGGCTCCAATGGTCACTTCAACTTTGTCAAAGGTTCTCAATTTCTTTGTTTTCTCAGTTTAAAATGTCGTATGTTTGATACACGATTCTTATGTCATTTAATTCATTAATTTCATTCTTTTTAATTATCGAAAAGCATTTTACTAAATAATTGTTAGTTTTTAAACTTGTATGTTTCATGAATAAGATACCATATAATCGTTTTCTTTTATTTAACGTGTTTCACGCGTCAAACAGCCTGCACTTGCTATATAACACACGTGTAACTCGTATTGCATGCCATGCAAATATAGTAGTAAGTCAATTACATCACACATCGGGAAGTAGAAGGTACAAACGATCCGTGGTAGGGGCTCTATTATGAAACAGACAGAAAGTGATAAATGATTCAACCAAGTAAAGAACTCAAACGATCAATTAACTTGGCGATAAGGAATATAACATATATTAAATAAATAAATCAAATTAATATATTTTTTTAATTAATACTAATTTACAAAATAAGTGAATGACTAAGAAAAAGTATTGTGTGACAAAATGAACAGAGGAAGCCAGAACATAGAACATTCAACCAGCAGTGGAAACAATGAAACACAATGAACTGTGACAATGTGACGACCTGTATAGATGATAGAACATTCAACCAGCAGTGGAAACAATGAAACACAATGAACTGTGACAATGTGACGACCTGTACAGACCATAGAACATTCAACCAGCAGTGGAAACAATGAAACACAATGAACTGTGACAATGTGACGGCCTGTATAGATGATAGAACATTCAACCAGCAGTGGAAACAATGAAACACAATGAACTGTGACAATGTGACGGCCTGTATAGATGATAGAACATTCAACCAGCAGTGTAAACAATGAAACACAATCAACTGTTACAATGTGATGGCCTGTATAGATGATAGAACATTCAACCAGCAGTAGAAACAATGAAACACAATGAACTGTGACAATGTGACGACCTGTACAGATCATAGAACATTCAACCAGCAGTGTAAACAATGAAACACAATCAACTGTTACAATGTGATGGCCTGTATAGATGATAGAACATTCAACCAGCAGTAGAAACAATGAAACACAATGAACTGTGACAATGTGACGACCTGTACAGA